AGATTTAGCAACAGGAAAAAAGAATACCGCGACCGTTTGAGATGTGATACATGCAATTACTTCAGTTTTTGCCTGCACGAGCAATGATTATTGTGATCAATCATTTAGAGACAGAGAATAATAACGTATGTATGCGATGGGGCATACGTTTGACGCCGCTCGCGAGAGGTAGGGCAAAGGAGTTAAGAGCAGCATGCGTGTGCTCTGAACAAAATCATTACTTATAATTAAGCGCGTAATTTGGCTGTATCTCTATATATGTGCGCGATTTGTGTGATGTGTATATGTGTAGTGTGTGCGTGTGTAATTATGTGTGTATATGTGCGTATTTGTGTATGTAGTGTTTTCCTCTGTTTGTCACGAAATTACTTCATCCATCCTAAGAAAGGCAAAGAGCAGTTGTCAGTCATCATCATGTTAGCTATGGATCTCCAATTAAACATGAGCAATTTCACTGTGAAAACGTAAAGTTGGTTGTTCATTTTGTGCTACAAGCTCTAGGGTCGGGATAAATGGCCTCTGCACCTTTTTTCTTCTGAAGAGATGCACTTACGACGGCTTACGAGTTAAGTAAGAGTTCAAAGATTGAATCTAGCACTTGAGAAAGTGCCAGTGTGAGCTGACCAAAGAAGAGGTGAAGCACTGTATACAATAAACTCTGAACGACTGTAGAGTAGTGAAGACAAATTTCTTACAAGCAACGAGCAATAAATGAAAATTCTGTGCCCTGCGCCGATCTCTCGCACGGTCCGGGTATCAAACGGTAAATACCAGGTAAGCGACAGTCACGATAAGTCTATGTATTATTTGAGTATATTTCTAGTGTGATTCATTAGTGTTATTTGTTTCAGCCATTATTAGGTAGTCACATGTTTTACATAAATGAATCTTGTCAAGTTATCTGAATTCACCTTTCTGTGCTATCGCTTATATTCCAAACTTATCCAATTTAACATATTGTAAGGATGTCCTTTTTTTAATGTGTATGCTTTCCGTTGCTTGTTAATGAATGCCAAACAAATACCTTATCCATGGGTCTGCTAATGTAAGAAGAAACAAAAATGTAACTTACGCCGTTTGCAATTTGAGAAGGGCTGCCCACTCTAAGTGTCAGAGTTTGCGGCTTAAAATAACTTACATGTCTGACATCATCATCGTCTTTATCAGCGCTGCACCCGCCCACCATGATCGCCTTGTTCTTCCACTTTGTTACAGAGTGACACCTATATAAAAAAAATTGTCGTACGCTAAGAGGTAGAGGGAAATGGTGAAAATGGTGATTTTATAGAAGTAGATGACGTAAAGCCCATTTCAAGCAAGAGAGACTGAAAGCAAAAAAAAAAAACACTAACCTCCTTCCTTGAGGGAAACCGTCCTGATCCGTATTCGTTCTGATCCACTCTTCATCAGGATAGGTCGGAACTTCCAAGAACTTTCTATTCTTAGTATCGAATACTGTCAACTGCAAGAAAGCTTTCTATTTCTTAAAGTTAACCTAAAGTAAGAGATTACGTTTTGAAACTCGGTGACGTAATCAGGGCGACCACCACCGAAGAGATATATTATATCTTCATGGAGAACTGTTTCCAAGCGATATCTTCCTTCATCATTTGGAGTCTAAAATAAGTTACAGCTTAATTTCTATTTTTAGCTGACCATGTTTATTCCAAATCACATCTCTCTTTCGCACTTGAACTTAAAAACTTTTAATATGAATAATACCGCCTGCACTTGATTCGACCACGTCCACTTTCCGTTGATAAATGCAAGCTTATCCACATCAAGAAAGAACACATGGCCGGTTGTTCCTCCAATCACGTAAAACGAATTAGCGTCGTGTCCTCGCATCATAGCCTGAATGATTAGGTAGTTAGAGTTGGCCCGTCCATGATTACTGTCCTATTGCGCTCGCCCTTCAACAAAACTATGCTGAGTTAGCGGCCTGTTCTACACTGTGTTTCACTGCTGTAGCCTTCTTCCTATACTTATCGGGAATTCATAACCCCTTGGTAGCTGTTTAAGATCGTCCTCTGAGGCGCTCATTAGCAGGAAAATCTTTTCCATTACGTCCAGTTCATTACTATTGTGAACAGGGGTGAAAAATAATTAAATATCCTGGAAAGTCCTCCGCATCGATTTAAAATATGAGAGGACTTGCAAGGGCATGAAGGGCCGATAATCT